AACGTAAAAATAAAATATACTGATTTAAGGGATAATCCACTAACATCCTTTAATACACATGTGTAGTTAATTTGATTCAGATGTTCTGATAATATCCGCAATATAAATCTTTAAACGTCTTCTTACCTTTAAAAGTCCATCACGAACGGTCTATTATGCTGCAACTCTACTCCGCTAACTTCCGGGGAACTATTGAGAGGCTCCACGATCCGCCATTGCTGTAAAAAACTGGTCCATTGGAGTGAACGGAGATGTCGTAACTCTTCTATTACATGGCTCTGGGTTAGACGATAGGAGCTGATTTTTGGACAATTCGACTGCAGACATCGTCTCTCTTCTTCTGCTATTCCCTTTAGTGTTTACTTCATGTCTCTCTTCAACCTCGTTTCTTCTCTTACACTGTTCTTCTTGATCTTATTCTCTTTTATTTTCTATTCATTTGTGCTATCCACAATTAACATAAATGTTCAAAAAAGAAATTCCATGGTGTTTTCTGTTGGAGGAAAGCTAATTTGTATTTTTTAGCTGACGTTAAATTGACCGGACTTCTTTTTGCTGGTTGATATGACTGCAAAGATTCCTTAATCCTTAGCAGTGGCCTGCTATCAAATATGAACCTTTTCTACCTTGTGTTTTTAGCGTTGCTGGTGGTCACTCTCATCAACTACATCATGTCCCTTACTGCTGTGGTGCTGTTCTTCATCTTCTACACAAAGCCTGATGGATGCTCCATCAACAAGTTCTTCATCAGCTTCAACATGTTGTTCTGCCTGGTGGCCTCCTTCCTCTCTGTGCTGCCTAAAGTTCAGGTACAGCAGTTTTTCTCAAAGATGACAGGGGGGGCGCGAGAGACCAGGAGGAAAAATGGTTTTGAAAAAAATCAACAATTTGAAAAAGGATTGATTCTAAAATAATATGATACAGTACAGTACAAGTACGTCTGGGTCTCTGTGTTTCATTCAAGCTCGGCTCTGTGTGTATGTGGCACGAGCCATTTTGTGTGCGTGCGCGAGAGAGAGAGAGAGAGAGAGAGAGGGCACCGGTACCGGAGATCGTTGTTGTTAGCTTCTGGTGCTAGTGAGCTAGTGGCCGAGTCTCAAACGTTTTGGTCACGATTAATGTAAACAATTATTTCCGAGGCACACGTTTATATGATCATTATAGTTATCAAAAAATAAGAGAATAAATGAAAAACAGGTTTGAAGTGATTTGTAAAATATCCATAAAGAAAAAGTAAATCTGTTTACAGTTCTGTTTCATATGGGTGTTGAGATGTATCCATAGATCTCTCCATGTTGCTCTCAAAGTGCACCAGATTGATGCTTTTAACTTAAAAAAAAATCTTCCCGGAGGAGCATTGTTTTATTATCACTGTTCTAGCAAAGGAATGCTCACGTTTATGTTGGTGTATTTTAAGAAATGTTAACTTGGCCCATTACGTGACTATTTGTGTTGGGGGGGCCCGACTTTATTTTTCCTCCAAAGTCTGACAGAAAAAGTTTTAGAACCACTGAGGTACAGTAACAGGACCGTGTCGTTCACATGAGAAAACTGTGACATTGTTTTAAAAAATAAGAGGGCAAACAATTTCATGAACACCTGTAAAGTAGTGTATCATGTTGTGTACATATAGTCAACACAGTGCAGTACAGGCTAATAATAGTGATACAGTCATCATACTATCAATGTAAATCAAAATAAAATGTCAGCTCCCCTCATCAATTTGCTCTTAAAGAAAATGTGCAGCACGGTTTGGCTTGGTTTAAAAAACTATGATTTCTTAACAAACTAAATTGGGTCAATACAGACATTAATGATAGTCAGTAAAAAAGAGAAATAATAGAGACAGTTTTGTAAGAGGAAAATCACTGGGTACCTGCTGCTCAGTGGCTAGTGCGTACAAATGAAGACAAAACCATGGTAGGGGAAGCTGCAGATATAGCAGACTGTATATTAAATACAGGCATTGTATTTTGAAAATGACTATGGTCTGATACTTTTCACCAAGTGCGTTCCTTTGTGTACACCATCTGTGTATTCTCTCCCTTTCCATCAACTTACAAATATCCCAACAAAAGATAACACTGTTGTGACTGTTAACATCGCAGCTGTGTGTGTTTTGGTGTCTGCAATTTAACGTGTGAAACTGAAACTCCAGCTGGGCTCAGTGTTCAGTGTCGGGTTCGGGTGACATTTGCTGAACAGATTAAAAAGCCCTTTGGGTTTTGAACTACATATTTGCAGACAAAACCGCCATAATCTTCCGGACACAATAGTGACTTCATATAGAAAGGGTCAAAAGTCTTTGCAGTGTTGCTCTAAGAACAAGTTACTCCTCAGTATCAGCAAAACCACAGACAGATTGTTGGTTTTATAAAAAAGGAACAGAAGACACCCCTGTCTATATCAATGTAACTGATGAGAAACAAGTTAACAGTTTCAGTTAAGGCTAATGCATTGTGTCCTGCACAGGGCAAGCAGTACGTTTCTTACTCTAAAGATGAGTCCTTTCCATGAACCCTTAAATGTGACTATATTTGGGAGAGAATGATTTTTACATTACATTACATGTCATTTGTTAGACGCTTTTATCCAAAGCGACTTACATACTCAAGACTGTGGACAATCCCCACAGGAGCAATTTGGGGTGAAGTGTCTCAGGGACACAACGACATGCTGACTGCAGTGGGGTTTGAACTTGCTATCCCCTGATTCGAAGTCCAGCACACCTCCACAGAGCCACAGCCAATGATCTGACACAAGGAGAGATATGTGACCTAAAACCTAGTTAGATGATTCGGAACATGACAAATCTCAAAATGCATTACACAAGCGTAATGTTGTAAGATGTTATTTTAGGTATACGTTAAAAGATAGGAATTAGCTCAAGTTACTATGAGGAGTATAAAGCATCCTGAGAGGAGAAATTACACACGAGCATGGTGAGCACTCTGAACTCCACCATATATCATAAACATTCAATTGTATTCTATTCTGATTGAAATACTTGTTTCTATGTTATTGTTGTTCTTTCAGGGGCAACTTACATGTTTCTGTTAATCACTGCATATCACCACCACTACAACTAAATAAAGGTGTAGTTCAAATTAAGCTGACTTGCTATTCAACTTCTAAAGTTGTCCTTAATTACTGCATCCAATCTGAACCTCATTTTCAAATGGAATTCCAGCTGCTTTAAAAAGAAAATAAATAACTAAACTAATAACATAAGAGTGAATGAAGTTGGCCCAGTTATCATGGAGTATTTCATGTTATTTATGTTTCATTGTCTGCCTATTTGATCTGTGTGTATCCTCAGGAGTCGCAGACCCGTTCAGGTCTCCTGCAGTCCTCCATCATCACCCTGTACACCATGTATCTCACCTGGTCCGCCATGACCAATGAACCTGGTGAGGATGTCTGCTGCATGCGTGAATTACTGCTGTAAACATTGATTCAGTTGGAATGAGCAGAAACGTAGGAATCCATTCGCTACAACCAAGGAACTGGACGGTGGTTCTGTCTCTGGTGTTCTTTTGAATGAAATAGCCTCTTTCTACGTCATAAGACTTATACCTTTCGTTTGATATGCTTTTGTGGTTTTGTTCAAAAAGCATGATTTATGTTGTGCCTGCAGCAGAGCAACATGTTTAATTCCTCCATAGAATGTGCAAAAGTATTCACACACAAAGCATTGCTATTGATTTAATATGGTCTAAGTCAAATGTTCATGCTACTTTCAAGGATCTCATGTCTCATGTCTGTTTTTCCAAAGAACGTGTATTTAAGACATAGGAGAGGCAACAACACGTCTGAAAATAAGAAGCAATAACTTTCCCCCTTTCTACTTAAACCCCCCGTGCTTGTTTCACCCCCCACAGCCGCAGCCTCTGCCCCCTCCCCTCCCCTCAGATCGAGAGTGTAACCCCAGCCTGCTGAGCCTCTTCCAACAGATAGCAGTGCCCACCCTGGCCCCTCTGGAGATGGAGAACCAGACGGCGGTGCTGATCCTTGGCCCGGACGCAGAGGAGCCCGCCCTTACGTCCCCTTACCTGCCGTGGTGGGACGCCCAGAGCATCGTGGGGCTCGCCATCTTTGTCCTCTGCATCCTCTACTCAAGGTAGGCTGAGATTAGAAACAATGAGATCACCTCATGCAAACTATTTTCATTCACAAACTTCCCACAAGGTCCACAAATGTTCCCATGAGCATCGTGTGAAGTGCAGCTGTGATGGGCCGAATCCCAGGTTTGAATGGATTATTGATCGGCCTGCCCACATCTAACTGCACAGTGATACATGTTCAAAGAGGACAGAAAGTCTTGATACGCTTTCAATATGAACACAGTGGTTTAACTCAGAGGATTTAGTTAGTGTGGCTGTTTGTCACAGCTCATCATCCCGGAGGTTTCATTACATCACATGCAAGCCTTCTTCACTGTCATAAACAAACACATGAAATAACAATGTGACGAACACTGTGACTTAAAAAATATATTTCAACTAAAATCTAATATTCAATGCCAACAGCCTCACAGATAAAGTTCCATTCAAATGTTTTCTTAACTACCTGAGACAGGTACTCCTCAGTAGGGCTGCCCTCGACTAAAGATTGTTCTAGTTGTCAATTGACTAATCGTCGCACGTTTATGATACATTATGATTATAAATATATATACATATATATATATATGGGTATGGGTTAGGGTTTTGTTTTTTTTATTCTTTTTTTTCTCCCAAAATGGTTTCAGTTTCAAAGGCTGATAAAGAGCGTTATTATAACAGATTGGTACGTTGTGTTTCACATCAAATATAAAATAAAACTGTAATAATGAACATTTGAAATATGAATTAAATGTAGAGAGCGCATGAGAGTCACAGCGCACGGCACGGACGCAGCGGTGTAAACAGCTCCGCTAAGGATTCTTATTGTGTGTGTGAACAAGCAGCGAGGGCACACACAGAACATTTAGTTCTAGTTTATATTATTCATATCTGAATATAACAACCCAATAAATACTACAGAGGAAACGGAAACACTGAAAATATGAGCGTCGGCAAAAATCCCTCCGCATTACGCCCTCATCATGAAATGAAAGCTTTGTCGTTTTCTGAGCTCAGAATGATATTATAGGTCTATACATGTCGATACAATGCTAGGCTACTGCCTGACTCACTGCTGCTGTTCCTCTGAGTCTGAGAAAGTAACACGCGTTGGGGATAATTAAGCTCTGTGTTGTTATGAAGCCGGCATTCAGGAAGCTGCGCTCTGATGGAGGAGACTCTTTGCCGTCATAGTTTGCATGTCACCTTGTGATCCTTTACTTGCTCAGAAAGATCCACACTTTGGATTTCCTGCCCGACCAAACAAACGGAATGACCGGACACAGCTTTGAATGAAGTCTGAGGGGGTTTCCGGCTGACGCGTCGTAGCACATGCAGCGCACGGATGGAGATTTTTTTTTCAACTAAACGACTAATGGAAAATTGCTTGATTAAGACTTTATTAGTCGACTAGTCATTATTCAACTATTAGGGGGAAGCCTTACTCCTCAGTTTGTTTTTAGTATGGTTTTATACTTCAGCGCCAATTGAACCTTTCTATAAATGTATCATTTCCAAATAGACACACAGTATCCATGTTCCTGTGTTCTGCCCTCAGCATTCGGTCGTCCAGCACCAGCCAGGTGAACAAGCTGACCATGGCTTCCAAAGACTCGGCCATCCTGGCGGAGGAGGGCAGCAGCTCCGACCTCTCCGAGGAGGCCCCGGTGCCCCGGAGGGTGGAGGACAACGAGCGGGACCTGGTGCAGTACAGCTACTCCTTCTTCCATTTCATGCTCTTCCTGGCCTCCCTATACATCATGATGACCCTCACCAACTGGTACAGGTCAGTCCTGCACACAGCCTGCCCCCCCCCCCAGCTGCGTGGAACAGTTTGACAAAATTCCAAAATGAATCAGAAAAATATTTGCCTCACCGCTCCACACATCAGATGAAAAGTTCCTCATATTTAGACAAGAAAGTAACACACATGTCGGATTTACACCCAGCGTTCTTTTAGCAACCTCATCTGCTTCTGCAATACTATGATGTTTTTCGGTTAGAGGAGTCTTTTGTTTTAGAGCCCTTTTGGGTTTTTCATGTTTGTATTCATTTGCCAGAGAAATAGATGCTTACCCCAGAGAATAGATTGAAACACTAGCATGAGAGGCTGTAACTGGCAAGCGTGACCCATTAGTCAGAATGGCCACAATTAGGAAAATTGTTGAAAATGATGGCATTTCCCTCAAATGGTTTGTCTGGCTGATTGTCCCACAGTTGTTACAAAGTCATCTGTTTTTAACAAATATTAACATACAGACCAAATTCAGCTTTGACCTACTTGCTGCTCTTTCCAGTGAGGCATTACCCTACAGTACGACCACCATTAAGGGTGAATTTACTCACCCTCTTTGACTGTTGTAGCTTATGGCGTCTCTAGATCTAGAGAAATTAAGCCCTCCAGTGAGGTTCACCTTCTCTTCTGAAACAATAGTTTGTTGTAAATGAAAGATGTTATAAGCAGATTGATGTTGATGCCTGTTGTGTTCTTGACAGCCCTGATGCAGACTACACAGTGACCAGCAGCTGGCCAGCAGTGTGGGTGAAGATCACCTCCAGCTGGGTGTGTTTGGCCCTGTACGTGTGGACCCTGGTGGCCCCCATGATCCTCACCAACAGAGACTTCAGCTGAGCAGCATCTGTGGCTCTTTTTACACAAACTCTGACCACTTTGCCTACATCTTACTTTCAAAATGCACTTCAAAGTATGCTTTGGGCTTGAGATTAGTTTCACTATTTAAAGGGGGCCTTATTATAATATCATAGTGATATCACTATTTAATTCTCGTGCTTCTATTGGCTAGCGCTCCAACACATTCTGCATGATAGGCTAAGGGGCGGGACATCTCTAAGCGGTTGACCAATCACAACAGAGCTGGCCAGCTAACCTATCAGAGCAGACTGAGCCCTGGTTTCAGACAACGCCGTGTAACCTTGTCTTTATTGGGATTAAGGTCCAAAGTAAAACTAGAGTCACATTTTGATCACATGCTCTTAATAATATGAATTTATGCTGTAACTGTATCAAATATTAGTCACAGTTAATCAAGTACAAATAGTTTCTACACTGCTTAAAAAGATGAATGTATTACTGTATTCATAATGAAGTGCACTCAGTCAGCTCAGTGGTGTGTTGCTATGCCTTCCAATGCCTTTTGTCTATCAAATATTTCAGATATGTGAAAATATGAAGAGTATGATGTGGAGTGTAGTAAAGATTGCTGATAGAAAACATGACACATTCTGCAATATGACTTCAAGCCAATTTAAGTGTCAGCCAAATATTTATGGACCAAGATATTTTCTCTTTACGGTGTGATCGCTTCAGGTTGTAAAATAAATAAATAGAATGAAAGAACTGCGCTTAACACAGCATCAAAGGATGTGTGTTTAATACTCTTCTCTGTGCATAATTGTTTGAATCCTAATAGTTTGGAATAGCTGTCATGTTTATTATGATCTTACCTATAAACAAAGTCATAGTTTTAATCCACGATGTGTTTTGTATGAGTTTCAGGTTGTGCTAAATGAATGCTTTTATATGTTTAGGACTGATTTCAAGCAGACTGATATTCTACCACTGACCAACGCCTTGTAAACCCAAGATATGAACTGGATGTGAGTTCTAATCTCTGTTCAACTCCATATTCACAACACATTGTCGCTGATCTTATCATAACTCCCTTCTTGCATCATGTTATCATTGTTTATGAAACATAACATTTAATCATCCTCGTCTCGGTTTGAAATGATCATCAATAGTCAATCAAACGGAGAATGCAGTGTCTGTTTGTTATAATGTAGCTTTTAACAAAGCTGTCTGTACATGGAAACGCTGTTGTAACATTCATTGTGCAAACACTATCAAATAATAAAAGCTGTTTTACTACTCAACTTTTTTCCTGATGCAATCAAATGTTCTACAGAGTGACTTTATGCAGGCTCCAGAACTCTAACAGTGAAACCTAAGGACAGTGTGAGCCTTACATAACGCTGCACCTGAACTGAAGGGCCATCAACAGAAATGGGGCGAAGCCTGCGAGCTAGTTCAGGCAGTCAACTCGAGCACTTATGCTGCATTCATACATAACGCCCCTTGCCACTCTACAACCAGCCAAACAGAGTCTCCTTAATATGCCGCTCTATTTAACCTGCCAGATCTCTCTCTATGCATTGCTTGCTGCTGCTATTGCTCCAGCTACCTTTACGTCGCTGCTGCTTGCCTGCCCCACCACCACCCCAGCTTCCACCCCAGCTTCCACCTGTAGGCTCGGGCAAATCCGGATTAACCATATGGGCAACCTGGGCAAGTGCCCAGGGGCCCTTGAGCAAAGAGGGCCCTCAGTGACAAGATGCAAAAAAACAACCTCACTCATCATACATTGTTTTAAATGACAGTCACTCTTCGCCATAAATAACACAGCTTTTCTATAGGGTCAAAGTAATATATTTTCTAAACCGTCTCTGTACTGTAGGTCTCACTATGTATGCGCTCAACTTTATTACTACGCGGCGGCGGTGTATAGCCGAATCACAGCCCCACCCTCACTCATGTCACATTTTGTCACGTGATTAGAAAAAATTGATGGTGCCGGTGTTGCAGTATAAGTTGAGTCATGACAACTGGCGACATTCTATTATTTTCGTCATAGGAATCCGGGGCGTGTACATTGAGGACCCATTGTTGACTTACCAGGAAAGAAACATCGTTTGTCGTTTACGTTCATCTTTTGCTATATCTGCCTTCCTAAGATCACTTTGCTGCACATTCAGTACTCGTATGTGAGGTTGTGGGTGAGAGGCCGATATCGTGACGCTTACAGGGAGGTATCGAACATTACAAAGTAGGTGACTGTGTGGATGCCTGTTCAAAACATTGCAAACTTCAATAAATCATTTAAATTATATATTTGTGTCCGATTTTCATTTGTTCATCGTTCTTAATGTGATGTATAGTAGCTTTGATAGCTGTCCATACCTTCAGACAGCCTAAAAGTAAAACACAAGTTGTTTATTCACAGCCCGAACGCTCATCGAGATGACTGGATCAGTCATGACAACTTGTGATCAGCTCCGATTAAATTGTGATATCAATTCTGTAGCTAACCTCCAGGGAGCACGTTTATTTTATGAAATACCTGTATCCCTCTCATCACAACAAGACTCTACACTG